CATCTAAATTGACATCAGCTGTCAAGGGGGGTTAATGTGGAACAATTTTCAAATCCAAATTCAAATTTTAAATTATTATAGTCACACCTAGCCATAGAAAAGTTCATCTTTTATAGTGCTTTGGCACTACAAAATTATGTTTAGATTTTTCAATATATAAATTAATATTTTGATACACCAAAGCTGAATAAAGTTAACCAGTTATACTTTCCTAAATGAATAAAACTACTAAATATGTTTTAACCCAAAGACACCAGGGATAGCATGTACATATATGCAGTGCTTTGTGTGAGTTTCTTATTAATTATCTTAACACATAGATGGCTCTACAAGTACTAAAAGTCACTGATAAGCCAATTACATACTACCTATCTCAGCATCATAATCATCAATAGGGAGCTAAAGCTGGCAGAGATGCATAGATGCATCCACCCTTCATTTCCTCTTACACAGGTCCCTCATGGCAAGCCACCAGGCAGGGGCAAGGCCCATCTCTAACTCTTCACAACAGGTTTGATTGATCTGCCCAAGCCACCACTTCCGAGGTCATCCGACAGGCCTCTTCCACCCAGGGTAGTCTCGAACAGAGACAACCTGTGGGTAGGATCATCCTGTGGGAAACAAGCCAGGTGGCCATATAGTCTGAGTTCACGATCGTGGATTGTGAAAATAACAGGTCCTGTACCAGTCTCACGGTGCAACCATTGGTTTGACACAGGGTCCCGTCAACTGTACCCCATGATCTGGAGCAAATACTCTTGTCGAGAGATTTCATGACCCCTGCTGCCAAGCCAATCTGTCTACAGACTCCCTGGTCTGACAGCCCAGAGTCATGAACTGCACTACCGAGGTATATGAAACTCTCTGTGGCCTTGATGCTTTCACTGCAAGCATGTACAGGATCTCGTAACAGGCCCCTAAAATTCCTGAATCTTGGTCTTGGTCCAGGAGACCTCTAGCCCCAGGGGCTTCGCTTCCTTGCTAAATGCATAAAGAACTGCTATTCTATCTGAATCCAGAGATTCAGATAGAATAGCAACATCATCAGCAATATCAAGGTCTGTACTACCAGAGTTGCTCCACAGTGACTTTGGACAGTACTTCTACCCTTTATCCAGTCCACCAGCCTTTAACAGCTCAGCTGGGATGCTGCAGATACCCGCTGCTTTACCACTCTTCAGCTTGGAGATCACCCTCCTGACTTCAGTCAGGTAGAGTGGATCCTTGCTGATGTGCGGGTCTGGCAAAGGAATCTTGATGCTATCCACATCCAAGTTAATTGCTGTTGAATCAACCTTGTACAACTGCTCAAAATACTCAGCCTAACACACCTGCACCCCATCAGGATCTGAGATTATTTGGCCACTTGCTGAGTGGACTGCAGTTGTCTGTGGAGAGGACTTGGAGTTCTCAGGGCTTGGTAGGCAGGAAGCTCATTTTGTAGGAAATGGCTTTCGACCTCCTCTGCAAGGTTCCTGATAAACTGTTCCTTATCCCTTCTCAGCAGTGACCTAGTCCTGTGCACCATGGAACAATACAAGTTGCGATCTTCTGACAATCGTGCCACACGACAAACATCTGTGGTGTCCAGTGTCTCCTGTGAGATGAAATTCTGTCTTGCTGTTGGGTATTCTTGGGCTGCATCGAGCATTTCACACTTGAAGGTGTTCCACAGAAGAACAGGGTCTGTCAGGCCCCTGAGTGCTGCGAAAACCCCCAAGCAGACCCTCCCCTCAATCTGTCCACATTAAACAACCAGGGGTGTTCATTGGAGCTATGGGGGGTTCTGAAGTAGACCCGAATAGTAGCCACAGCCAATCTATGATCAGTTTTCACAGAATTTAGCGCTCTATACACCCTGCAGTTCTGGAGGATCCTCCATCGAGTGCTAACGAGGATGTGGTCAATCTCCTTGGCTACATTACCTGTATCTCTGTACCAAGTCCAATGATGTGGGTCAAAACACCGATACCAGGAGCCAGAAATCCTCAATTTCTAGGACCGAGCTAATGCACTGCCATCATCAGCTCCTGAGCCACAAGGACCGACAGCTTGGTTGCAGCCAGATACTGCATTGAAGTCACACAGAACAATACAAATATCTCTCCGAGGACAGCTGTCTGTCGCAGATGCAAGTTTGGCATAATACATCTCTTTCACATCAAGTTTACATTACATACATCAGTAGGACCATATATAGCAATAAGAGACATGAAGCCAAATGTAAGCTTCAGACTCAATACCATTATACCCTTATCAACTGGAGTGACCTCTACTACTGAGGGTTGAAGTCTGCCGGGAATAACCATGGTTACTCTCTGGAGATGGTGGCCATCGCTACGGCCCGACCAGTAATAGGTGTAGCCACCCACACTAATTGTGCCGCTGCCAGGTCTTCTCACCTCTGAGAGAGCAGCCACCTCAACTCTCAGCTGCTTCAGCCCCCACCCTGACAGACCACCTGAGGTTTAACCTTGGGCAGCCACCCCCACCAATGCTG